CTTCTTGCTCGCCTCACTCGCATCTTCCGCTTCTTGCTCGCCTCACTCGCATCTTCCGCTTCTTGCTCGCCTCACTCGCATCTTCCGCTTCTTGCTCGCCTCACTCGCATCTTCCGCTTCTTGCTCGCCTCACTCGCATCTTCCGCTTCTTGCTCGCCTCACTCGCATCTTCCGCTTCTTGCTCGCCTCACTCGCATCTTCCGCTTCTTGCTCGCCTCACTCGCATCTTCCGCTTCTTGCTCGCCTCACTCGCATCTTCCGCTTCTTGCTCGCCTCACTCGCATCTTCCGCTTCTTGCTCGCCTCACTCGCATCTTCCGCTTCTTGCTCGCCTCACTCGCATCTTCCGCTTCTTGCTCGCCTCACTCGCATCTTCCGCTTCTTGCTCGCCTCACTCGCATCTTCCGCTTCTTGCTCGCCTCACTCGCATCTTCCGCTTCTTGCTCGCCTCACTCGCATCTTCCGCTTCTTGCTCGCCTCACTCGCATCTTCCGCTTCTTGCTCGCCTCACTCGCATCTTCCGCTTCTTGCTCGCCTCACTCGCATCTTCCGCTTCTTGCTCGCCTCACTCGCATCTTCCGCTTCTTGCTCGCCTCACTCGCATCTTCCGCTTCTTGCTCGCCTCACTCGCATCTTCCGCTTCTTGCTCGCCTCACTCGCATCTTCCGCTTCTTGCTCGCCTCACTCGCATCTTCCGCTTCTTGCTCGCCTCACTCGCATCTTCCGCTTCTTGCTCGCCTCACTCGCATCTTCCGCTTCTTGCTCGCCTCACTCGCATCTTCCGCTTCTTGCTCGCCTCACTCGCATCTTCCGCTTCTTGCTCGCCTCACTCGCATCTTCCGCTTCTTGCTCGCCTCACTCGCATCTTCCGCTTCTTGCTCGCCTCACTCGCATCTTCCGCTTCTTGCTCGCCTCACTCGCATCTTCCGCTTCTTGCTCGCCTCACTCGCATCTTCCGCTTCTTGCTCGCCTCACTCGCATCTTCCGCTTCTTGCTCGCCTCACTCGCATCTTCCGCTTCTTGCTCGCCTCACTCGCATCTTCCGCTTCTTGCTCGCCTCACTCGCATCTTCCGCTTCTTGCTCGCCTCACTCGCATCTTCCGCTTCTTGCTCGCCTCACTCGCATCTTCCGCTTCTTGCTCGCCTCACTCGCATCTTCCGCTTCTTGCTCGCCTCACTCGCATCTTCCGCTTCTTGCTCGCCTCACTCGCATCTTCCGCTTCTTGCTCGCCTCACTCGCATCTTCCGCTTCTTGCTCGCCTCACTCGCATCTTCCGCTTCTTGCTCGCCTCACTCGCATCTTCCGCTTCTTGCTCGCCTCACTCGCATCTTCCGCTTCTTGCTCGCCTCACTCGCATCTTCCGCTTCTTGCTCGCCTCACTCGCATCTTCCGCTTCTTGCTCGCCTCACTCGCATCTTCCGCTTCTTGCTCGCCTCACTCGCATCTTCCGCTTCTTGCTCGCCTCACTCGCATCTTCCGCTTCTTGCTCGCCTCACTCGCATCTTCCGCTTCTTGCTCGCCTCACTCGCATCTTCCGCTTCTTGCTCGCCTCACTCGCATCTTCCGCTTCTTGCTCGCCTCACTCGCATCTTCCGCTTCTTGCTCGCCTCACTCGCATCTTCCGCTTCTTGCTCGCCTCACTCGCATCTTCCGCTTCTTGCTCGCCTCACTCGCATCTTCCGCTTCTTGCTCGCCTCACTCGCATCTTCCGCTTCTTGCTCGCCTCACTCGCATCTTCCGCTTCTTGCTCGCCTCACTCGCATCTTCCGCTTCTTGCTCGCCTCACTCGCATCTTCCGCTTCTTGCTCGCCTCACTCGCATCTTCCGCTTCTTGCTCGCCTCACTCGCATCTTCCGCTTCTTGCTCGCCTCACTCGCATCTTCCGCTTCTTGCTCGCCTCACTCGCATCTTCCGCTTCTTGCTCGCCTCACTCGCATCTTCCGCTTCTTGCTCGCCTCACTCGCATCTTCCGCTTCTTGCTCGCCTCACTCGCATCTTCCGCTTCTTGCTCGCCTCACTCGCATCTTCCGCTTCTTGCTCGCCTCACTCGCATCTTCCGCTTCTTGCTCGCCTCACTCGCATCTTCCGCTTCTTGCTCGCCTCACTCGCATCTTCCGCTTCTTGCTCGCCTCACTCGCATCTTCCGCTTCTTGCTCGCCTCACTCGCATCTTCCGCTTCTTGCTCGCCTCACTCGCATCTTCCGCTTCTTGCTCGCCTCACTCGCATCTTCCGCTTCTTGCTCGCCTCACTCGCATCTTCCGCTTCTTGCTCGCCTCACTCGCATCTTCCGCTTCTTGCTCGCCTCACTCGCATCTTCCGCTTCTTGCTCGCCTCACTCGCATCTTCCGCTTCTTGCTCGCCTCACTCGCATCTTCCGCTTCTTGCTCGCCTCACTCGCATCTTCCGCTTCTTGCTCGCCTCACTCGCATCTTCCGCTTCTTGCTCACTCGCACTTCCGCTTCTTGCTCGCCTCACTCGCATCTTCCGCTTCTTGCTCGCCTCACTCGCATCTTCCGCTTCTTGCTCGCCTCACTCGCATCTTCCGCTTCTTGCTCGCCTCACTCGCATCTTCCGCTTCTTGCTCGCCTCACTCGCATCTTCCGCTTCTTGCTCGCCTCACTCGCATCTTCCGCTTCTTGCTCGCCTCACTCGCATCTTCCGCTTCTTGCTCGCCTCACTCGCATCTTCCGCTTCTTGCTCGCCTCACTCGCATCTTCCGCTTCTTGCTCGCCTCACTCGCATCTTCCGCTTCTTGCTCGCCTCACTCGCATCTTCCGCTTCTTGCTCGCCTCACTCGCATCTTCCGCTTCTTGCTCGCCTCACTCGCATCTTCCGCTTCTTGCTCGCCTCACTCGCATCTTCCGCTTCTTGCTCGCCTCACTCGCATCTTCCGCTTCTTGCTCGCCTCACTCGCATCTTCCGCTTCTTGCTCGCCTCACTCGCATCTTCCGCTTCTTGCTCGCCTCACTCGCATCTTCCGCTTCTTGCTCGCCTCACTCGCATCTTCCGCTTCTTGCTCGCCTCACTCGCATCTTCCGCTTCTTGCTCGCCTCACTCGCATCTTCCGCTTCTTGCTCGCCTCACTCGCATCTTCCGCTTCTTGCTCGCCTCACTCGCATCTTCCGCTTCTTGCTCGCCTCACTCGCATCTTCCGCTTCTTGCTCGCCTCACTCGCATCTTCCGCTTCTTGCTCGCCTCACTCGCATCTTCCGCTTCTTGCTCGCCTCACTCGCATCTTCCGCTTCTTGCTCGCCTCACTCGCATCTTCCGCTTCTTGCTCGCCTCACTCGCATCTTCCGCTTCTTGCTCGCCTCACTCGCATCTTCCGCTTCTTGCTCGCCTCACTCGCATCTTCCGCTTCTTGCTCGCCTCACTCGCATCTTCCGCTTCTTGCTCGCCTCACTCGCATCTTCCGCTTCTTGCTCGCCTCACTCGCATCTTCCGCTTCTTGCTCGCCTCACTCGCATCTTCCGCTTCTTGCTCGCCTCACTCGCATCTTCCGCTTCTTGCTCGCCTCACTCGCATCTTCCGCTTCTTGCTCGCCTCACTCGCATCTTCCGCTTCTTGCTCGCCTCACTCGCATCTTCCGCTTCTTGCTCGCCTCACTCGCATCTTCCGCTTCTTGCTCGCCTCACTCGCATCTTCCGCTTCTTGCTCGCCTCACTCGCATCTTCCGCTTCTTGCTCGCCTCACTCGCATCTTCCGCTTCTTGCTCGCCTCACTCGCATCTTCCGCTTCTTGCTCGCCTCACTCGCATCTTCCGCTTCTTGCTCGCCTCACTCGCATCTTCCGCTTCTTGCTCGCCTCACTCGCATCTTCCGCTTCTTGCTCGCCTCACTCGCATCTTCCGCTTCTTGCTCGCCTCACTCGCATCTTCCGCTTCTTGCTCGCCTCACTCGCATCTTCCGCTTCTTGCTCGCCTCACTCGCATCTTCCGCTTCTTGCTCGCCTCACTCGCATCTTCCGCTTCTTGCTCGCCTCACTCGCATCTTCCGCTTCTTGCTCGCCTCACTCGCATCTTCCGCTTCTTGCTCGCCTCACTCGCATCTTCCGCTTCTTGCTCGCCTCACTCGCATCTTCCGCTTCTTGCTCGCCTCACTCGCATCTTCCGCTTCTTGCTCGCCTCACTCGCATCTTCCGCTTCTTGCTCGCCTCACTCGCATCTTCCGCTTCTTGCTCGCCTCACTCGCATCTTCCGCTTCTTGCTCGCCTCACTCGCATCTTCCGCTTCTTGCTCGCCTCACTCGCATCTTCCGCTTCTTGCTCGCCTCACTCGCATCTTCCGCTTCTTGCTCGCCTCACTCGCATCTTCCGCTTCTTGCTCGCCTCACTCGCATCTTCCGCTTCTTGCTCGCCTCACTCGCATCTTCCGCTTCTTGCTCGCCTCACTCGCATCTTCCGCTTCTTGCTCGCCTCACTCGCATCTTCCGCTTCTTGCTCGCCTCACTCGCATCTTCCGCTTCTTGCTCGCCTCACTCGCATCTTCCGCTTCTTGCTCGCCTCACTCGCATCTTCCGCTTCTTGCTCGCCTCACTCGCATCTTCCGCTTCTTGCTCGCCTCACTCGCATCTTCCGCTTCTTGCTCGCCTCACTCGCATCTTCCGCTTCTTGCTCGCCTCACTCGCATCTTCCGCTTCTTGCTCGCCTCACTCGCATCTTCCGCTTCTTGCTCGCCTCACTCGCATCTTCCGCTTCTTGCTCGCCTCACTCGCATCTTCCGCTTCTTGCTCGCCTCACTCGCATCTTCCGCTTCTTGCTCGCCTCACTCGCATCTTCCGGCTTCTTGCTCGCCTCACTCGCATCTTCCCGCTTCTTGCTCGCCTCACTCGCATCTTCCGCTTCTTGCTCGCCTCACTCGCATCTTCCGCTTCTTGCTCGCCTCACTCGCATCTTCCGCTTCTTGCTCGCCTCACTCGCATCTTCCGCTTCTGCTCGCCTCACTCGCATCTTCCGCTTCTTGCTCGCCTCACTCGCAATCTTCCGCCTTCCTTGCTCATAGCCTCACTCGCATCTTCCGCTTCTTGCTCGCCTCACTCGCATCTTCCGCTTCTTTGCTCGCCTCACTCGCATCTTCCGCTTCTTGCTCGCCTCACTCGCATCTTCCGCTTCTTGCTCGCCTCACTCGCAATCTTCCGCTTCTTGCTCGCCTCACTCGCATCTTCCGCTTCTTGCTCGCCTCACTCGCATCTTCCGCTTCTTGCTCGCCTCACTCGCATCTTCCGCTTCTTGCTCGCCTCACTCGCATCTTCCGCTTCTTGCTCGCCTCACTCGCATCTTCCGCTTCTTGCTCGCCTCACTCGCATCTTCCGCTTCTTGCTCGCCTCACTCGCATCTTCCGCTTCTTGCTCGCCTCACTCGCATCTTCCGCTTCTTGCTCGCCTCACTCGCATCTTCCGCTTCTTGCTCGCCTCACTCGCATCTTCCGCTTCTTGCTCGCCTCACTCGCATCTTCCGCTTCTTGCTCGCCTCACTCGCATCTTCCGCTTCTTGCTCGCCTCACTCGCATCTTCCGCTTCTTGCTCGCCTCACTCGCATCTTCCGCTTCTTGCTCGCCTCACTCGCATCTTCCGCTTCTTGCTCGCCTCACTCGCATCTTCCGCTTCTTGCTCGCCTCACTCGCATCTTCCGCTTCTTGCTCGCCTCACTCGCATCTTCCGCTTCTTGCTCGCCTCACTCGCATCTTCCGCTTCTTGCTCGCCTCACTCGCATCTTCCGCTTCTTGCTCGCCTCACTCGCATCTTCCGCTTCTTGCTCGCCTCACTCGCAATCTTCCGCTTCTTGCTCGCCTCACTCGCATCGTTGCCGGCTTCTTGCTCGCCTCACTCGCATCTTCCGCTTCTTGCTCGCCTCACTCGCATCTTCCGCTTCTTGCTCGCCTCACTCGCATCTTCCGCTTCTTGCTCGCCTCACTCGCATCTTCCGCTTCTTGCTCGCCTCACTCGCATCTTCCGCTTCTTGCTCGCCTCACTCGCATCTTCCGCTTCTTGCTCGCCTCACTCGCATCTTCCGCTTCTTGCTCGCCTCACTCGCATCTTCCGCTTCTTGCTCGCCTCACTCGCATCTTCCGCTTCTTGCTCGCCTCACTCGCATCTTCCGCTTCTTGCTCGCCTCACTCGCATCTTCCGCTTCTTGCTCGCCTCACTCGCATCTTCCGCTTCTTGCTCGCCTCACTCGCATCTTCCGCTTCTTGCTCGCCTCACTCGCATCTTCCGCTTCTTGCTCGCCTCACTCGCATCTTCCGCTTCTTGCTCGCCTCACTCGCATCTTCCGCTTCTTGCTCGCCTCACTCGCATCTTCCGCTTCTTGCTCGCCTCGCATCTTCCGCTTCTTGCTCGCCTCACTCGCATCTTCCGCTTCTTGCTCGCCTCACTCGCATCTTCCGCTTCTTGCTCGCCTCACTCGCATCTTCCGCTTCTTGCTCGCCTCACTCGCATCTTCCGCTTCTTGCTCGCCTCACTCGCATCTTCCGCTTCTTGCTCGCCTCACTCGCATCTTCCGCTTCTTGCTCGCCTCACTCGCATCTTCCGCTTCTTGCTCGCCTCACTCGCATCTTCCGCTTCTTGCTCGCCTCACTCGCATCTTCCGCTTCTTGCTCGCCTCACTCGCATCTTCCGCTTCTTGCTCGCCTCACTCGCATCTTCCGCTTCTTGCTCGCCTCACTCGCATCTTCCGCTTCTTGCTCGCCTCACTCGCATCTTCCGCTTCTTGCTCGCCTCACTCGCATCTTCCGCTTCTTGCTCGCCTCACTCGCATCTTCCGCTTCTTGCTCGCCTCACTCGCATCTTCCGCTTCTTGCTCGCCTCACTCGCATCTTCCGCTTCTTGCTCGCCTCACTCGCATCTTCCGCTTCTTGCTCGCCTCACTCGCATCTTCCGCTTCTTGCTCGCCTCACTCGCATCTTCCGCTTCTTGCTCGCCTCACTCGCATCTTCCGCTTCTTGCTCGCCTCACTCGCATCTTCCGCTTCTTGCTCGCCTCACTCGCATCTTCCGCTTCTTGCTCGCCTCACTCGCATCTTCCGCTTCTTGCTCGCCTCACTCGCATCTTCCGCTTCTTGCTCGCCTCACTCGCATCTTCCGCTTCTTGCTCGCCTCACTCGCATCTTCCGCTTCTTGCTCGCCTCACTCGCATCTTCCGCTTCTTGCTCGCCTCACTCGCATCTTCCGCTTCTTGCTCGCCTCACTCGCATCTTATCCGCTTCTTGCTCGCCTCACTCGCATCTTCCGCTTCTTGCTCGCCTCACTCGCATCTTCCGCTTCTTGCTCGCCTCACTCGCATCTTCCGCTTCTTGCTCGCCTCACTCGCATCTTCCGCTTCTTGCTCGCCTCACTCGCATCTTCCGCTTCTTGCTCGCCTCACTCGCATCTTCCGCTTCTTGCTCGCCTCACTCGCATCTTCCGCTTCTTGCTCGCCTCACTCGCATCTTCCGCTTCTTGCTCGCCTCACTCGCATCTTCCGCTTCTTGCTCGCCTCACTCGCATCTTCCGCTTCTTGCTCGCCTCACTCGCATCTTCCGCTTCTTGCTCGCCTCACTCGCATCTTCCGCTTCTTGCTCGCCTCACTCGCATCTTCCGCTTCTTGCTCGCCTCACTCGCATCTTCCGCTTCTTGCTCGCCTCACTCGCATCTTCCGCTTCTTGCTCGCCTCACTCGCATCTTCCGCTTCTTGCTCGCCTCACTCGCATCTTCCGCTTCTTGCTCGCCTCACTCGCATCTTCCGCTTCTTGCTCGCCTCACTCGCATCTTCCGCTTCTTGCTCGCCTCACTCGCATCTTCCGCTTCTTGCTCGCCTCACTCGCATCTTCCGCTTCTTGCTCGCCTCACTCGCATCTTCCGCTTCTTGCTCGCCTCACTCGCATCTTCCGCTTCTTGCTCGCCTCACTCGCATCTTCCGCTTCTTGCTCGCCTCACTCGCATCTTCCGCTTCTTGCTCGCCTCACTCGCATCTTCCGCTTCTTGCTCGCCTCACTCGCATCTTCCGGCTTCTTGCTCGCCTCACTCGCATCTTCCGCTTCTTGCTCGCCTCACTCGCATCTTCCGCTTCTTGCTCGCCTCACTCGCATCTTCCGCTTCTTGCTCGCCTCACTCGCATCTTCCGCTTCTTGCTCGCCTCACTCGCATCTTCCGCTTCTTGCTCGCCTCACTCGCATCTTCCGCTTCTTGCTCGCCTCACTCGCATCTTCCGCTTCTTGCTCGCCTCACTCGCATCTTCCGCTTCTTGCTCGCCTCACTCGCATCTTCCGCTTCTTGCTCGCCTCACTCGCATCTTCCGCTTCTTGCTCGCCTCACTCGCATCTTCCGCTTCTTGCTCGCCTCACTCGCATCTTCCGCTTCTTGCTCGCCTCACTCGCATCTTCCGCTTCTTGCTCGCCTCACTCGCATCTTCCGCTTCTTGCTCGCCTCACTCGCATCTTCCGCTTCTTGCTCGCCTCACTCACTCGCTACCCCCCGCATCTTCCGCTTCTTGCTCGCCTCACTCGCATCTTCCGCTTCTTGCTCGCCTCACTCGCATCTTCCGCTTCTTGCTCGCCTCACTCGCATCTTCCGCTTCTTGCTCGCCTCACTCGCATCTTCCGCTTCTTGCTCGCCTCACTCGCATCTTCCGCTTCTTGCTCGCCTCACTCGCATCTTCCGCTTCTTGCTCGCCTCACTCGCATCTTCCGCTTCTTGCTCGCCTCACTCGCATCTTCCGCTTCTTGCTCGCCTCACTCGCATCTTCCGCTTCTTGCTCGCCTCACTCGCATCTTCCGCTTCTTGCTCGCCTCACTCGCATCTTCCGCTTCTTGCTCGCCTCACTCGCATCTTCCGCTTCTTGCTCGCCTCACTCGCATCTTCCGCTTCTTGCTCGCCTCACTCGCATCTTCCGCTTCTTGCTCGCCTCACTCGCATCTTCCGCTTCTTGCTCGCCTCACTCGCATCTTCCGCTTCTTGCTCGCCTCACTCGCATCTTCCGCTTCTTGCTCGCCTCACTCGCATCTTCCGCTTCTTGCTCGCCTCACTCGCATCTTCCGCTTCTTGCTCGCCTCACTCGCATCTTCCGCTTCTTGCTCGCCTCACTCGCATCTTCCGCTTCTTGCTCGCCTCACTCGCATCTTCCGCTTCTTGCTCGCCTCACTCGCATCTTCCGCTTCTTGCTCGCCTCACTCGCATCTTCCGCTTCTTGCTCGCCTCACTCGCATCTTCCGCTTCTTGCTCGCCTCACTCGCATCTTCCGCTTCTTGCTCGCCTCACTCGCATCTTCCGCTTCTTGCTCGCCTCACTCGCATCTTCCGCTTCTTGCTCGCCTCACTCGCATCTTCCGCTTCTTGCTCGCCTCACTCGCATCTTCCGCTTCTTGCTCGCCTCACTCGCATCTTCCGCTTCTTGCTCGCCTCACTCGCATCTTCCGCTTCTTGCTCGCCTCACTCGCATCTTCCGCTTCTTGCTCGCCTCACTCGCATCTTCCGCTTCTTGCTCGCCTCACTCGCATCTTCCGCTTCTTGCTCGCCTCACTCGCATCTTCCGCTTCTTGCTCGCCTCACTCGCATCTTCCGCTTCTTGCTCGCCTCACTCGCATCTTCCGCTTCTTGCTCGCCTCACTCGCATCTTCCGCTTCTTGCTCGCCTCACTCGCATCTTCCGCTTCTTGCTCGCCTCACTCGCATCTTCCGCTTCTTGCTCGCCTCACTCGCATCTTCCGCTTCTTGCTCGCCTCACTCGCATCTTCCGCTTCTTGCTCGCCTCACTCGCATCTTCCGCTTCTTGCTCGCCTCACTCGCATCTTCCGCTTCTTGCTCGCCTCACTCGCATCTTCCGCTTCTTGCTCGCCTCACTCGCATCTTCCGCTTCTTGCTCGCCTCACTCGCATCTTCCGCTTCTTGCTCGCCTCACTCGCATCTTCCGCTTCTTGCTCGCCTCACTCGCATCTTCCGCTTCTTGCTCGCCTCACTCGCATCTTCCGCTTCTTGCTCGCCTCACTCGCATCTTCCGCTTCTTGCTCGCCTCACTCGCATCTTCCGCTTCTTGCTCGCCTCACTCGCATCTTCCGCTTCTTGCTCGCCTCACTCGCATCTTCGCTCTTGGCTCACCGCATTCTTGCTCGCCTCACTCGCATCTTCCGCTTCTTGCTCGCCTCACTCGCATCTTCCGCTTCTTGCTCGCCTCACTCGCATCTTCCGCTTCTTGCTCGCCTCACTCGCATCTTCCGCTTCTTGCTCGCCTCACTCGCATCTTCCGCTTCTTGCTCGCCTCACTCGCATCTTCCGCTTCTTGCTCGCCTCACTCGCATCTTCCGCTTCTTGCTCGCCTCACTCGCATCTTCCGCTTCTTGCTCGCCTCACTCGCATCTTCCGCTTCTTGCTCGCCTCACTCGCATCTTCCGCTTCTTGCTCGCCTCACTCGCATCTTCCGCTTCTTGCTCGCCTCACTCGCATCTTCCGCTTCTTGCTCGCCTCACTCGCATCTTCCGCTTCTTGCTCGCCTCACTCGCATCTTCCGCTTCTTGCTCGCCTCACTCGCATCTTCCGCTTCTTGCTCGCCTCACTCGCATCTTCCGCTTCTTGCTCGCCTCACTCGCATCTTCCGCTTCTTGCTCGCCTCACTCGCATCTTCCGCTTCTTGCTCGCCTCACTCGCATCTTCCGCTTCTTGCTCGCCTCACTCGCATCTTCCGCTTCTTGCTCGCCTCACTCGCATCTTCCGCTTCTTGCTCGCCTCACTCGCATCTTCCGCTTCTTGCTCGCCTCACTCGCATCTTCCGCTTCTTGCTCGCCTCACTCGCATCTTCCGCTTCTTGCTCGCCTCACTCGCATCTTCCGCTTCTTGCTCGCCTCACTCGCATCTTCCGCTTCTTGCTCGCCTCACTCGCATCTTCCGCTTCTTGCTCGCCTCACTCGCATCTTCCGCTTCTTGCTCGCCTCACTCGCATCTTCCGCTTCTTGCTCGCCTCACTCGCATCTTCCGCTTCTTGCTCGCCTCACTCGCATCTTCCGCTTCTTGCTCGCCTCACTCGCATCTTCCGCTTCTTGCTCGCCTCACTCGCATCTTCCGCTTCTTGCTCGCCTCACTCGCATCTTCCGCTTCTTGCTCGCCTCACTCGCATCTTCCGCTTCTTGCTCGCCTCACTCGCATCTTCCGCTTCTTGCTCGCCTCACTCGCATCTTCCGCTTCTTGCTCGCCTCACTCGCATCTTCCGCTTCTTGCTCGCCTCACTCGCATCTTCCGCTTCTTGCTCGCCTCACTCGCATCTTCCGCTTCTTGCTCGCCTCACTCGCATCTTCCGCTTCTTGCTCGCCTCACTCGCATCTTCCGCTTCTTGCTCGCCTCACTCGCATCTTCCGCTTCTTGCTCGCCTCACTCGCATCTTCCGCTTCTTGCTCGCCTCACTCGCATCTTCCGCTTCTTGCTCGCCTCACTCGCATCTTCCGCTTCTTGCTCGCCTCACTCGCATCTTCCGCTTCTTGCTCGCCTCACTCGCATCTTCCGCTTCTTGCTCGCCTCACTCGCATCTTCCGCTTCTTGCTCGCCTCACTCGCATCTTCCGCTTCTTGCTCGCCTCACTCGCATCTTCCGCTTCTTGCTCGCCTCACTCGCATCTTCCGCTTCTTGCTCGCCTCACTCGCATCTTCCGCTTCTTGCTCGCCTCACTCGCATCTTCCGCTTCTTGCTCGCCTCACTCGCATCTTCCGCTTCTTGCTCGCCTCACTCGCATCTTCCGCTTCTTGCTCGCCTCACTCGCATCTTCCGCTTCTTGCTCGCCTCACTCGCATCTTCCGCTTCTTGCTCGCCTCACTCGCATCTTCCGCTTCTTGCTCGCCTCACTCGCATCTTCCGCTTCTTGCTCGCCTCACTCGCATCTTCCGCTTCTTGCTCGCCTCACTCGCATCTTCCGCTTCTTGCTCGCCTCACTCGCATCTTCCGCTTCTTGCTCGCCTCACTCGCATCTTCCGCTTCTTGCTCGCCTCACTCGCATCTTCCGCTTCTTGCTCGCCTCACTCGCATCTTCCGCTTCTTGCTCGCCTCACTCGCATCTTCCGCTTCTTGCTCGCCTCACTCGCATCTTCCGCTTCTTGCTCGCCTCACTCGCATCTTCCGCTTCTTGCTCGCCTCACTCGCATCTTCCGCTTCTTGCTCGCCTCACTCGCATCTTCCGCTTCTTGCTCGCCTCACTCGCATCTTCCGCTTCTTGCTCGCCTCACTCGCATCTTCCGCTTCTTGCTCGCCTCACTCGCATCTTCCGCTTCTTGCTCGCCTCACTCGCATCTTCCGCTTCTTGCTCGCCTCACTCGCATCTTCCGCTTCTTGCTCGCCTCACTCGCATCTTCCGCTTCTTGCTCGCCTCACTCGCATCTTCCGCTTCTTGCTCGCCTCACTCGCATCTTCCGCTTCTTGCTCGCCTCACTCGCATCTTCCGCTTCTTGCTCGCCTCACTCGCATCTTCCGCTTCTTGCTCGCCTCACTCGCATCTTCCGCTTCTTGCTCGCCTCACTCGCATCTTCCGCTTCTTGCTCGCCTCACTCGCATCTTCCGCTTCTTGCTCGCCTCACTCGCATCTTCCGCTTCTTGCTCGCCTCACTCGCATCTTCCGCTTCTTGCTCGCCTCACTCGCATCTTCCGCTTCTTGCTCGCCTCACTCGCATCTTCCGCTTCTTGCTCGCCTCACTCGCATCTTCCGCTTCTTGCTCGCCTCACTCGCATCTTCCGCTTCTTGCTCGCCTCACTCGCATCTTCCGCTTCTTGCTCGCCTCACTCGCATCTTCCGCTTCTTGCTCGCCTCACTCGCATCTTCCGCTTCTTGCTCGCCTCACTCGCATCTTCCGCTTCTTGCTCGCCTCACTCGCATCTTCCGCTTCTTGCTCGCCTCACTCGCATCTTCCGCTTCTTGCTCGCCTCACTCGCATCTTCCGCTTCTTGCTCGCCTCACTCGCATCTTCCGCTTCTTGCTCGCCTCACTCGCATCTTCCGCTTCTTGCTCGCCTCACTCGCATCTTCCGCTTCTTGCTCGCCTCACTCGCATCTTCCGCTTCTTGCTCGCCTCACTCGCATCTTCCGCTTCTTGCTCGCCTCACTCGCATCTTCCGCTTCTTGCTCGCCTCACTCGCATCTTCCGCTTCTTGCTCGCCTCACTCGCATCTTCCGCTTCTTGCTCGCCTCACTCGCATCTTCCGCTTCTTGCTCGCCTCACTCGCATCTTCCGCTTCTTGCTCGCCTCACTCGCATCTTCCGCTTCTTGCTCGCCTCACTCGCATCTTCCGCTTCTTGCTCGCCTCACTCGCATCTTCCGCTTCTTGCTCGCCTCACTCGCATCTTCCGCTTCTTGCTCGCCTCACTCGCATCTTCCGCTTCTTGCTCGCCTCACTCGCATCTTCCGGCTTCTTGCTCGCCTCACTCGCATCTTCCGCTTCTTGCTCGCCTCACTCGCATCTTCCGCTTCTTGCTCGCCTCACTCGCATCTTCCGCTTCTTGCTCGCCTCACTCGCATCTTCCGCTTCTTGCTCGCCTCACTCGCATCTTCCGCTTCTTGCTCGCCTCACTCGCATCTTCCGCTTCTTGCTCGCCTCACTCGCATCTTCCGCTTCTTGCTCGCCTCACTCGCATCTTCCGCTTCTTGCTCGCCTCACTCGCATCTTCCGCTTCTTGCTCGCCTCACTCGCATCTTCCGCTTCTTGCTCGCCTCACTCGCATCTTCCGCTTCTTGCTCGCCTCACTCGCATCTTCCGCTTCTTGCTCGCCTCACTCGCATCTTCCGCTTCTTGCTCGCCTCACTCGCAATCTTCCGCTTCTTGCTCGCCTCACTCGCATCTTCCGCTTCTTGCTCGCCTCACTCGCATCTTCCGCTTCTTGCTCGCCTCACTCGCATCTTCCGCTTCTTGCTCGCCTCACTCGCATCTTCCGCTTCTTGCTCGCCTCACTCGCATCTTCCGCTTCTTGCTCGCCTCACTCGCATCTTCCGCTTCTTGCTCGCCTCACTCGCATCTTCCGCTTCTTGCTCGCCTCACTCGCATCTTCCGCTTCTTGCTCGCCTCACTCGCATCTTCCGCTTCTTGCTCGCCTCACTCGCATCTTCCGCTTCTTGCTCGCCTCACTCGCATCTTCCGCTTCTTGCTCGCCTCACTCGCATCTTCCGCTTCTTGCTCGCCTCACTCGCATCTTCCGCTTCTTGCTCGCCTCACTCGCATCTTCCGCTTCTTGCTCGCCTCACTCGCATCTTCCGCTTCTTGCTCGCCTCACTCGCATCTTCCGCTTCTTGCTCGCCTCACTCGCATCTTCCGCTTCTTGCTCGCCTCACTCGCATCTTCCGCTTCTTGCTCGCCTCACTCGCATCTTCCGCTTCTTGCTCGCCTCACTCGCATCTTCCGCTTCTTGCTCGCCTCACTCGCATCTTCCGCTTCTTGCTCGCCTCACTCGCATCTTCCGCTTCTTGCTCGCCTCACTCGCATCTTCCGCTTCTTGCTCGCCTCACTCGCATCTTCCGCTTCTTGCTCGCCTCACTCGCATCTTCCGCTTCTTGCTCGCCTCACTCGCATCTTCCGCTTCTTGCTCGCCTCACTCGCATCTTCCGCTTCTTGCTCGCCTCACTCGCATCTTCCGCTTCTTGCTCGCCTCACTCGCATCTTCCGCTTCTTGCTCGCCTCACTCGCATCTTCCGCTTCTTGCTCGCCTCACTCGCATCTTCCGCTTCTTGCTCGCCTCACTCGCATCTTCCGCTTCTTGCTCGCCTCACTCGCATCTTCCGCTTCTTGCTCGCCTCACTCGCATCTTCCGCTTCTTGCTCGCCTCACTCGCATCTTCCGCTTCTTGCTCGCCTCACTCGCATCTTCCGCTTCTTGCTCGCCTCACTCGCATCTTCCGCTTCTTGCTCGCCTCACTCGCATCTTCCGCTTCTTGCTCGCCTCACTCGCATCTTCCGCTTCTTGCTCGCCTCACTCGCATCTTCCGCTTCTTGCTCGCCTCACTCGCATCTTCCGCTTCTTGCTCGCCTCACTCGCATCTTCCGCTTCTTGCTCGCCTCACTCGCATCTTCCGCTTCTTGCTCGCCTCACTCGCATCTTCCGCTTCTTGCTCGCCTCACTCGCATCTTCCGCTTCTTGCTCGCCTCACTCGCATCTTCCGCTTCTTGCTCGCCTCACTCGCATCTTCCGCTTCTTGCTCGCCTCACTCGCATCTTCCGCTTCTTGCTCGCCTCACTCGCATCTTCCGCTTCTTGCTCGCCTCACTCGCATCTTCCGCTTCTTGCTCGCCTCACTCGCATCTTCCGCTTCTTGCTCGCCTCACTCGCATCTTCCGCTTCTTGCTCGCCTCACTCGCATCTTCCGCTTCTTGCTCGCCTCACTCGCATCTTCCGCTTCTTGCTCGCCTCACTCGCATCTTCCGCTTCTTGCTCGCCTCACTCGCATCTTCCGCTTCTTGCTCGCCTCACTCGCATCTTCCGCTTCTTGCTCGCCTCACTCGCATCTTCCGCTTCTTGCTCGCCTCACTCGCATCTTCCGCTTCTTGCTCGCCTCACTCGCATCTTCCGCTTCTTGCTCGCCTCACTCGCATCTTCCGCTTCTTGCTCGCCTCACTCGCATCTTCCGCTTCTTGCTCGCCTCACTCGCATCTTCCGCTTCTTGCTCGCCTCACTCGCATCTTCCGCTTCTTGCTCGCCTCACTCGCATCTTCCGCTTCTTGCTCGCCTCACTCGCATCTTCCGCTTCTTGCTCGCCTCACTCGCATCTTCCGCTTCTTGCTCGCCTCACTCGCATCTTCCGCTTCTTGCTCGCCTCACTCGCATCTTCCGCTTCTTGCTCGCCTCACTCGCATCTTCCGCTTCTTGCTCGCCTCACTCGCATCTTCCGCTTCTTGCTCGCCTCACTCGCATCTTCCGCTTCTTGCTCGCCTCACTCGCATCTTCCGCTTCTTGCTCGCCTCACTCGCATCTTCCGCTTCTTGCTCGCCTCACTCGCATCTTCCGCTTCTTGCTCGCCTCACTCGCATCTTCCGCTTCTTGCTCGCCTCACTCGCATCTTCCGCTTCTTGCTCGCCTCACTCGCATCTTCCGCTTCTTGCTCGCCTCACTCGCATCTTCCGCTTCTTGCTCGCCTCACTCGCATCTTCCGCTTCTTGCTCGCCTCACTCGCATCTTCCGCTTCTTGCTCGCCTCACTCGCATCTTCCGCTTCTTGCTCGCCTCACTCGCATCTTCCGCTTCTTGCTCGCCTCACTCGCATCTTCCGCTTCTTGCTCGCCTCACTCGCATCTTCCGCTTCTTGCTCGCCTCACTCGCATCTTCCGCTTCTTGCTCGCCTCACTCGCATCTTCCGCTTCTTGCTCGCCTCACTCGCATCTTCCGCTTCTTGCTCGCCTCACTCGCATCTTCCGCTTCTTGCTCGCCTCACTCGCATCTTCCGCTTCTTGCTCGCCTCACTCGCATCTTCCGCTTCTTGCTCGCCTCACTCGCATCTTCCGCTTCTTGCTCGCCTCACTCGCATCTTCCGCTTCTTGCTCGCCTCACTCGCATCTTCCGCTTCTTGCTCGCCTCACTCGCATCTTCCGCTTCTTGCTCGCCTCACTCGCATCTTCCGCTTCTTGCTCGCCTCACTCGCATCTTCCGCTTCTTGCTCGCCTCACTCGCATCTTCCGCTTCTTGCTCGCCTCACTCGCATCTTCCGCTTCTTGCTCGCCTCACTCGCATCTTCCGCTTCTTGCTCGCCTCACTCGCATCTTCCGCTTCTTGCTCGCCTCACTCGCATCTTCCGCTTCTTGCTCGCCTCACTCGCATCTTCCGCTTCTTGCTCGCCTCACTCGCATCTTCCGCTTCTTGCTCGCCTCACTCGCATCTTCCGCTTCTTGCTCGCCTCACTCGCATCTTCCGCTTCTTGCTCGCCTCACTCGCATCTTCCGCTTCTTGCTCGCCTCACTCGCATCTTCCGCTTCTTGCTCGCCTCACTCGCATCTTCCGCTTCTTGCTCGCCTCACTCGCATCTTCCGCTTCTTGCTCGCCTCACTCGCATCTTCCGCTTCTTGCTCGCCTCACTCGCATCTTCCGCTTCTTGCTCGCCTCACTCGCATCTTCCGCTTCTTGCTCGCCTCACTCGCATCTTCCGCTTCTTGCTCGCCTCACTCGCATCTTCCGCTTCTTGCTCGCCTCACTCGCATCTTCCGCTTCTTGCTCGCCTCACTCGCATCTTCCGCTTCTTGCTCGCCTCACTCGCATCTTCCGCTTCTTGCTCGCCTCACTCGCATCTTCCGCTTCTTGCTCGCCTCACTCGCATCTTCCGCTTCTTGCTCGCCTCACTCGCATCTTCCGCTTCTTGCTCGCCTCA